TTATATTCCTCCCTTCAGGGGTCCGTTCTGAAATAGCATTTAAGTTACAGGAAGATCAGTGGGTTTTGCCTAGTGGACGAAGGCTTCTTTTTAGTAGCCATATTGCGAGCTTTTTGGAATCGTTCTTTCATAGTTTGTCTAGGCATGCTAAGAAATTTTTCAACTGTATTAGTATCTTGGTGTCCCTGCGTTCTGAGAGTGTTTGGGTCATACCCATCTTCCCCATCACAGATAGAGGTGTAAATTGTATCCCGCTATTATGACTCTGAGTGCTAGATTTTGTACCTTGTGTAACTTTTGTAGTGTAGTTTTTGATACTAAACTCCATGCAGTTGACCCGTGTTCAAGATGTGGTCGTAAACTTTGTGTGCTAAGTATTTTCCTGCTAGCGCCCCATGTTGTTCCGCTTAGTTTTCTAATGATAGCTATCTTCCTACTGGCTTTTATTTGCTGTCTTGTAAATGTGTTTTCTCCATGTTAACCTCTCGTCAAACGTTATTGTTATTTTTATTACTTGTTGTTGCTGTTGTCATAGCAGCAGCAGTACTATTATAACTTTCATTGAATCTCTTCTTATGTTTCATACTCAGTTATAGCCACTCAGGTGACTCCACCTGGTGAGGGTTGGGATAAAAGTTTCTTCTTGTTATTGTTGTGCTCACGGATAAAGACTTTGCCGAAACGTTCGGTTGCTTCTGTTGCTTTCCCCGTTCGTTTCCTAATTTCGAAAAACCAGCTCGACTGCAGTCACCCTCGTATTCAGCATACAGCGATTATGTGGATTTGAAATAAAATTGTCTAGGGTGCTTTTGTTAAGAGGAAACAAATAGAAACAAAAAAGAGAAATTATAATTTTAGGAAGGCGTTTCACACGAAACACAATTGTGAGAAAAGTAGATTCCACATACAATGTTAGATCAAGCACACAATAGAGAACAGAATGAGCAACCGACTGCAAGCTTTAACTGTGCATGACGCCACAGCAAAATGATGTTGAGGATGATAACGATTATTACCTGAAGCAATTTCAGCTGAATATCAGCATCATCATAGGTCACGTTTGCGAAAGCTCCACAAGTACCTTGATCAAGAACGTACATGTAAATAAGCGATTCGTCCTTTGCCTCCTCGTTGCTTGTTTCATCACTGTTGTGTTCTTTGAAGTGATCCTTCTTGCAGCCTTCTTGGCTTTTCCCATCGCCTCCATTTGATGGTAGAGCAGCGGTTTCTGCATTTACGATATTAGTTCGTTCAGCTGTATAAGAAGAACGAAAGCCCATGAACATTTCTTACTAAAAATGTAAATAAAACAAATGTAAACGAAGACTGTAAAGGTGTAGTCAAATAACGATGTCAATTTGTATGTCATTGGTGTATCGGCATATCTTCGTCTTCCTTAGGCTTCGTCCTTAAAAGAGCGGTTTGCAGGTTGTGTTTTGGCCTACAGCTAGACTGTGATGTGTAAGCTTTCAACCAACATATTTAACTTCAACAGACTCATAATTAGTCGCCTCTTACGATATGCTTGTTAGTGGACACACATTCTTTTTCTTTAGGAATGAGACACCAGTACCCACACGGAAAGCATCGGACATATACTACTAGACTCGTGTTGCTATAGACTCATCAGCAATCCATGGGTAGCCTTCACTTCCCAGAACATTGCCTTATACTCGATTTTAGACTGGATAAACCTGGCATCAAATACCTTTATTTTCTCTATCCACCAACTGCGGATTCGAACCCAAGACGTTAGACGGGCTGGTGAAAGTCAAACCACTACACTACCGCTACCCTGTTGGAAAAGATGAGTTCTCATCTTATGAGAACCACGCTAGGCTAGTGGCTAGCATGCATTTTATGACCCAGTGGTGACCTTTAGGATTAGACCTGAAGAGAATTTCTGTAAAAATGGCACATGCTTTCAGATCGACTCAGCTAAAGATGGATACCAGGAAATGGCCAAATCTCCCAATGCCACATGAACATTCTCCGCTTGGTTGCCTATACCCGGGGGATCGTCCATGGTAATCCTAGAGTGGTCTACGAGTGAGACAGTAATCTACGATGGAATACTCGCCAGCAGCAGACAGCAGAGAATGCACCAAGAATGTCTATTTCACAGTACTAAATTATTTCTCAATAGACACAAATCATGTATATCTTCAATCTTCCAGTATGGTTCAATTATAGAAGCATTCAGTTGTGAATTTCTCAACCTATTTTATGTCATTATCATATCAGTGCAATGAAAAAAAAACAAAAGTATATACTTGGGTGTCTGGTAGAAAGTTCGCACATTACAAATATTCCAAGTGCTGACCTTAAACCTATACATTGCAACAGTTATGACCACTTGGCAAAATCGACACTTCTCTTACAGCTTTGAAATCTTGCTTTGGGCATGAAACCGGTTATTTGTTCGTGGAAAATCGCCTCATCCATATACATTTACTCTCGCCCTTGCAGAGATTAATAAAAATTTTTAAAAAATTTTTTAATTGCCTAAATGTTCAGTATTTTGTCATTGTCACTGCTCATATTTTTGTCAGAGTTAAAGGCTGTCTTCTGCCAAATCGCACGTAGCCAGACATCAAAACCCAATATATACATGACATCGGCGAATAACACTACATATATATGTCTGTGTATATGTATAAAAACAACTTTTTTTTTAAGAAGCGTGACATTAACTAACAAAAGAAATATGAATTATCACATAGTTTACTGGAAGTAGGATATTGAATGAGTTTAGTTTACAATATGTATGTCGAATTTTTAGCACGGATACCACTAAAAGGAAATCGTTTGAAAACAGGTTGTTCTGTTTTGACCCCCAGAGACAAACACAATTTGCGAAGTAAATAAAAGAGACAAAGTTCAGTTTTCCAAAGACAGGACGAACTAAAACAACAAAAAAGTTATATTTAATATTCAGCATGGCCAGGACGAACTTTTAAAACTCATTTACCGTCATCAATATCTCGCTTGGAAACTATACGTTTTCCAATGATGCTGACAGTCAGGGTGAAAGCTGCGGTTACAAAATAATGTCCTGGTTCTGCAATAATTCGAACAGCTTCAGAGGCAGGGAAGTATCGGTCTAGTGATTTGTTGACAGATTCAGCCACCTGCGTGAAAAATGAAATAATTTGTTCAGTATTTACCCGAGTCTCAGTATAGATTTGTTTCACCCAAAAATTATGTAAAATAACGTCACATAACCTTTGACCCGTTAGGGTCGTGGAGGTGTATCGATCGGAAGCACTAGCACAGAAAACCCGCTATATTTCACAGTCTTCGATTGATAAATAAGTGTATGATAATTTAGTCCGGTCAATTTCTTGATGTTGTCATTCTTCTTTGTCCTCCTCTTCTTTGACTACCACCCCCACCCCCCCCCCTCGCCTTTCCTTTTCCAGTGTTTCTCTAAGTAAAGGCTTTGCAATCGAAACATGTCTCACCACGTGCCTTAGCCAAGCTAGCTTGTCACCTTTCACCACTGCCAAGAGAGGCGCCTGAGGTCTTTAATATTTGAATATCTCTAACATGTTTGTTATTTATGTGTTCTAAATAACTAATTCGTAAAATGCGTCTGTAGCATTTACATTCGAAAGGCTAAATCCTCCTTTCCATTCCCACAGTGAGAGTCCAACTCTCACATCCGTATTAAAAAAAAATAGACAATACCACTGATTGGTACATTGATGCTGATTCGGTCTTTCATGTCGTATTCAGCTGGGATGTGTATAAACTTTGGTTACTCAAAAACTTCTATAACAAACAGCAATACCGAATTAATACCGACTACACGAGACAAAGAAAAGCTAACTTTTAGCTTGTTATTCTGCTTGGTCGGCGTCTCTGGCTTAGGCGTTGCGAACGAGCTTCGTAATGCCGGGGTGCCGAGTTCGATCCCAGCTGCGGGCTTTGGGTCTTGTGTTGGTTTTGACAGTGGTATCGAAAAGCCGACCGTCCAGAAGCAATTGCAAACTACTGGACGTAAACTACCTAGAAAAACCACAACAGCCAAAAAATGCTGGGGTTGGTTCTGCAACGTCCTGTAAAGGATACGCAATTAACTTCTTTTTCTTTTTTTTTTCTGCTTGGTCTCCTTCATTTCGACTCTGTCGCATCGGGTGGCGAGGAGGATATTTTGCTGCATGCACTTCTGGCCACGAAAACACCGACATCGAAGTGTTGCTGAGATTCTTTTATGGTATCTTTCCATCGTGTTCTTGGTCTAACTCATGTTCTACTTATCTGATAGATGGGAGGTTGTATGGTATGGCGTGGAAAAGCATTCTCTCCAAGTGGAAATTAATTTTATTATGTATTTTTGTGTGAAGTTTAGTACTGGTTTTGTGTCGACTGTTTCAGACTTGAATTCATTCCCGATTTTATCTGTTCTCGTCACTCCTGCAACCTTTCGCATGTATCTCCTTTTGATCATTACTAATTTTCTCTTCTGGTTTATTGAGAAAGATCATTCAAGACACTGGTAGCATATATTAGGGAAAATATGCTTTGTATATGATGTTACTTTGTGTTGCCTTGGACTGTCCTTTGCTATAAGATGTTGGCTAGCTACTAGAATACATGATTTGCTTTACTGCATCTGATGATAGCTACTCAACATACACAAATGGTTACCATTACCGTCAAGGGGCGTATTATTAGGCGAACAACTAGTTGAGTAACTAGGTAACTTGTGTGGGTTTCAGCTCATATCGCATCAATATCTCTACTAAGGGTAACACATGAGCATAGCTTTCTGCGATAAATACACCGATGCCTTTAGTCATGTGGGTCTCAAAAGTTGTAGGGAGAACATTTTGTCATCGTAATTAAATCTTTTGCTCCTACTTCTTCTTGTGCGTAGTCAAGAAAAATAACGATTGGCACGATGTGTTGGGACATATCAAGACTGCGATATCTGCACCCCTGGGCCCAATACACTGATTTTCATCAAAACAATAATCAGTTAGAATTTCATGATATACTTGTTATGAGCAAGTGAATCTATTATATTTGTTCCTCCCTTTAGAAGAGGGAATCCCTGCAGCTAGAACGGATGTAACTACACCTGAGCACGACCAAACCTGAGCAAGAAAATAACTCAGTGATTCCGAGTTCAGACTATAGTGGAAACTCTAACAGCTGACACAGCCTGAGGCACACTACAAACAAATATAATTAAACAAATAAACGCACCTCCTCAAATGTGACGTAGCCATTATACTTTCCAGGAAATCCCCCGCCGATGTCTATAATTTCCATGTTTAGGCCAAGTGAGAGTCCAATGTTGAAAGCACGGTGAGCTTGCTCGATTGCAGTTGCGTAATAATCGGGAGAAGTCACGGGACCACCTACGTGAAAACTGGAAATATAGGTAATTTTGTGCTGGTTGTTTGTCACATAATTTTAATGGAATAATGGATTGCGCTTTCTCAAACAAAATAAATGACATGAGCTCCTAGTGTTACTTAGCCTATAAAATCTATCGGAAGTAAAAGTGTGCATCATCATTTTGACAAGCTGAACATGCTTGAACAGTATAGCAAATTCATCTCTGTCACCCATGCATGCAGCGGTTTAAAAAATCATCTTCATTTTTGTCCCAGGATATGCTGGTGTGAAAGGCAGTGAGGGAGCAGACTCTCTGATTGGCATTGCGACAATCAGGAATAGGTCCTCTATGAGCAGGAGAGACATCATCAATGCCATACAAGAGACTAAACGCTGTGACAGGTATTGTGAGATTTTGTGTTATAGTGTCTCTGCGGTAGCAAATTAGCCGCCTAACTTCACGACGAGAGTGAAAAGCTTACGGTTGGTTCATCGGACAGACGATAGACTTTGGCATTTGTCAGAGAGACTCTGGCAGACATTTATCGGACACTTTGGCTCTAAGGGATAACCAATTCCTTTCCACTAGGGAATCAGACCAATCTACCGAGGCCCATCACCCGTGACGTTCCGTTGAGTCCAGAGCCAGCTCGAAGCCTTTTCTGCTGCTTTGCCCAGTTTTTTCAATGACCGTTTATGCATCCTGTCCTCTCAAGCCTAGCTGCTTTACCACATTGTATGTGGAAGTGGAGATAAGTCCTCTTGAGCCTACCTCGACGGCGAAGATTTTTGCTGAGTACGCTTCGTCTCTTCTCAAACAGGCCACGAGCTCACCGTATTTTTCGAGCTTGTGCAGTTGATTTTCTTCCATCCGCGACTTGTAGGTCTTTCAATTTGACTATGGATACTTTTCGAAAAAAAGGCAGGTCGACAGCCAGTAACCAGTCCCTCGCGACTTTGTTGACTTTACATTTAGAGATCTGGCCAGACTTGAGAAAGCACATGGGGAGGATGGTAGGATTGGCCCTTGCGTTGGCCCTAATCCTGGCTTGGTCCACGCGGTCCGCTAATCAGAACAGAATGGGAGTTGTTAGCCTAAAAACACTTGGAGTCTTATGAGCTTCGTGCAGGAGGTGATTCTTCTCTACACCCGATGTGAACATTACTTTACTTGCAGAACTTTGAGCCTATCTGCAAACATAGGCAGTGCCAGTATATATCGCATAATACCACCGTGGTATCTCGTGTACATCCTAGAATTTCCCATATGGCTTGATTCTGTATGCGTGAAAGATCTTCTTTCAAACGAATAACGAACAATATCTTAGTCAGTATCAATTTCATTTAAATGCCATTATGTCATAAACCAACTCACGCGAATATCGTCGTGTATCACACGCACGTAAAACCATGTCTTCCACTTTTTAAAAATTAAATTACATACATATAGGTGTGTGTGTGTGTGTGTGTGTGTGTTAGAGAGGTTATTTATCTTTTTTAAGTATATTTAGTAGTTGTTTTTTAATGGGAATTCGCCTGTAGAATTTTCAGCATCTTGTGCAGTGCTGATAGTATGATAAAAGGATAATGAAACCAAACACTATAAATACCATTCAAGTTATTAACAATAAGTATGAATATGAATGATTATAAGTCGTACTTTTTTTCTCTCGAAAATTGAATTATTAGTATGAGTTTAATTTGCTTTACAACAATACCATGTGTAAAATCAATTATTCACAATTTTCTCCCCCCCTCCCCTCTCCCATCCCCACACCACCCCCACTTTTCTTTCTTTTTTTCCCTTGCGGCTGCCTTCTTTGTATTCAATGCCCATAACTGCACAAGTGCCTGCCACGGCAGCTAGACTGTCCCATTGCTACTCAAATTTGGCCGAGGCAGCTACTGTTTCCTCATGGACGGTCCCAGCGTCGCCAGGGGGCGGAAATGTATACTTTGGGAAACACTGATCTAGAAAAGACAGAGGGGTGCCAGCGAAGATTGTGGAAACAGTATCATGTACTAACAATACTGAGAAGCCGAAGATTAAATGATCTCGGTATCATTTGTAAGTACTGTATCAGCAGTTACCAGCAAAACTTCATATTAATATACTAAAAGGTTTTTGCACATTAGAGCCTATTCTGGCAAATAAATCAAGCCAGAAATTAACAAAGTGGAGAATGGAATTAAAGAACGAAGTTAAAAAGATACCGAGGATATAGCGTGCGCCTATGAGGTTTTGATGATGATGATGTTGATGAAGACGTTGTTGATGATGATGATGATGATGGTGAGCACACATTAGTATATCTATTAAAAGATTATTTCGTTTCATACCTGACTCCCACAACATTGAGATTCATTTTTGCAGCTTGAGCCAGAATTGCCCTCACCTCTCTTGTGTGGCAACCAAATTTTTTACTTAGATTATGTATCATTATTGGTCCATTTCTGGTCCAAATTCGCAGAACTAGCCTGCAGAACAGGAAGTAATGAGATTTTTGAATTTAAGTAAAAGGATTAATGTTTTTTCTGCCAATTCACACTTTTTCGTAATTCACTTGACGAAATATGACAGGAAATGCATTGTTTAATAAACTTGTCTATATTTGTTTACACATATTTTAACAAAGATTCCTTTTGATCGTCATAAAAGCTATGGAAATACAGCGATATGAAATATTTTAGCATTGTTAATGACAAATCTGATACTTCGATATTAAATATTTTGGCTATTAATAATGTCATGTGTGATACTAGGACATTAAATATTTTAACTATGGTTAATGACATATCCGATAAAAAAGGTAAAGTCGGGAGATATATACCAGCCTCATTGCACACGGTTATAAACCATACGTGCTCTGCCACCAGTACGGACAGCTGATAAGAATTGTCCGCCTGTGTTGCCGTCCTCACGCAACTCTGTAGCTACAGCGACGTTCCTCCGTTTACCCCAGAGTACTCCGGTACCCATTTCCTAGAGACTGGTTGAACCCCGGAAACCACCCGGTTTCGGGTGGTTATTAGACACGCAATACGCCATATATGATACTTCGACAAAAATACATAATTCATTGCAATATTTCCCCGTTGTAAATTTGAACAAAGAATACACAAACAATAGATTGCCCAATTTATTGCCTGGCATATTTCGCTGTGTCTCGTCAGGTGCATACTACAGTAACAGTTACATAAATGAAACAAATAAGTTAATTCTTCATAATCGAAGTACAATTTCAACAACGATCAATACATAACTGTCTGTTTTTAACCAGGGCAGCCGTAAAGACAGAACCATCTCTTTCTGTATACAGAATTCCGGACGCAGGTGACAATTTATTGTTTATGACACATACGATACTTCGACAAAAAAATAATTCATTCATTGTTAATGACATATTTGATATTTCGGCATTTAAATATTTTATTTACTTGAAAACTGAAGCCGCGAGGTTTCAGGCTAACAGTCCAATGGTGCGCCTGGAAGTAGACCGAAACCAACCAGGTCAGATTTTTCCTGCACAGCCACGCGACGAGCCAAGCAAGCCGGCAGCGGTGTATTTGACTGCTGCCACTCAAGAAAAATTGAATTATTATAGGACACTTCCTTGCCAATGTTAATTAGGGCTATTTGCCATTGTGACTGGAATTCTGGTGGTGCAGGTTATTGTGCATTTCTGTATTAATTGGGACTGTCAGTGAAAGTAAACTTTCGTTGAAGATATAGCCCTTTAAAAATTTTTTAATATTACTTGTGTTTAAATAAAAATTTAAAAACAAAACATATTTCGCTGTTTTTTTTTTTTTTTTTTTTTTCCTTTTTCTTAGATACCACATCTCTGAATATTTCTGAGACAATAATGTGTCTGTATCTCTGATTCCCAAACTGTTAAATACTAGTGCTAGTTTTACAGGTTATGTCTGGTGTGCAATTAAAGGTAGAGAATAAAGATATGTCACCGCTGGAGACAAAGATAAAGAAGAAGACAAGATATTAAATATAGGGATCTAGTAAGGCCCTTGTGTTCACTAGGCCTACATATAGAGCAGCGGTGGAAACTAAGGTGAGATAAAGGACGGGAGAATAAGAAATCTATATACTAATAAACTACAAACATTCACTAACTAGTGCCTGTGCAGAATAAAGAGAACTAAGTGGTATGAAAGAATTATTTATGCTGAAATATGGAAGCGAACAAGTTCTAGTGGACCAAGAGATGAAGAACAGACGCTGGCGTTGGATAGGACACCGTTGAGAAAATCTAAGAACATTATAACTAGACTGTCTTTGCACTGGAACCTACAGGGGCATTGCAATAAAGCAGACCAAAAACATAACAACAAAACACGGAGAAGGCAGCTAGAGAGTGAAGTTAAAATCAGGGTGGGGAACCTGTGGTGAGCTGCATGCAATAGCCAAGGATAGAACGATTTAACTTGAGTTGACTGAGGACCTATGCTCCAGTGTGGCATATAAGTCATGAGAAAAAGAATGATAAACCAAGCATATTGACATTTAAATACTCTATGTATTGTTGATGAAAAAGTTGATACTTTCAAATTAAAATTCTTAATTTTTGTAAATGAGACAGTTGATTCGTTGGCATTAAAATACCGTGGTTATGATAGTAGTACAGCTAATACCTTGGCGTAAAATTACTTTAGTTGAACTCAGTGGGGCCACAGATAAACTGACTCTAGTTATTGTTAGTCACCGGCTGTATCTTTTTCAGTAAATCCCCGGGTGAACCACTCAACGCAGTAGCAAACTAGCATTCATATAAATAACTAATTAGGAAATAAAATACAATACCTCGGTGTTGAGGTATATCATTTCAGTAAGTAAAGGAATAATTTTACGCCACTGACACATCAGGTTTACCAATCGGCATCCCACGGGTGCCATGAGACAAGAATGGATTGTAATTGAGTTGATTTCGCGAATGCCTGGCTTAGCCTTCGTCTTTGTGCAAAGTTATGTGTGTGTTCGATGCAACCAGTGTGCAGATACTTTATCTTGCAGACACTGCGAATATGGTTGGTCTGGTACTGAACAGACAGAAACGATTTTATCAATGTCACGCGCAGCACTAGCCGGCGAGACGAATACGACAAAGAGTATGACTCCGTTCAGGGGCAACTTGGAGCTGCAAGAAATAAACATTTCCCCAGAGAAATAAGACGTTTGAATAATCACATCAAAGCATCAAGACGTTTAAATAATCAACACAGAAAAGACGTCATAAGTCGTTTTATACTCCTGGAGCTTTAGGGGAAAAGGTCAGAGCACATATTGCTGAAAAGATAATAATTTCTAATCATGAATAATGTCACTGATGATGCAATGACTACATCACGCCTTGCACAAAACGTTCCATGCTGCCTATTGCAGGGCAATCAAATTTCCCGTGTGTGTGTTCCGGGGTCATATTGTTTTAGAAACTTCAATAGACCCCATGTTGGTTCTAGGGCTACATAACCGCTTTAATATTTGCGTCTTTCGGTCTATGCAATTTCAGCAAACTCCTAGTTATGCGCTTTAAGCCCACCCACCATCTTCAACTGGTGCTTCTGTGCTTACACAGGGGTTAAATTGCCAAAATGTTAAGTTTTTTAAATTTTTTTTTTTTAATTATAAAAAAATAATATAAGAATACAACCGCACCTGGCGTTAGGGTAATGTTTCTTGATCTTGGTAAGCTCATGGGCGCTATCAAAAGTCATGAGATCGACGTTGTTGGCAGCTGCATAAGTGAGATAGCCGCTCGGTTTGTATGGGTTGGCGTAGATGATCCGTGACGGGTGGACTCCCAAGTTCAGGATCTGCTCTATTTCCATCTGTTGAATAAATTGCCTTAGTGGTTTTTTATGCATAGCACATAAACTTTATCATTTTATTATAAGTGTCTAAAATATAAGTGTCTAAAATATAATTGACAATTATAGACGTCTGAATTTGAGCTTTTTGCTTGCTGTTGTAATGTGGACAGGGCGCTTATGGGAGTGCCCCGAGTGCTATGTCGTTAATTCTTAAATCAACATTGAACATCTTACACTAAAGATATAAACAACAAGATAAAAAAGAGAATCGTCAAATGGTATGTATATCTAACCCTGTTATGTGGTGCAGACAGTGAAGAGACAACTGGAAGATCGAATTGAGTCTCTCGAAATGTGGATGTATATAAGAATATGTAGTATTTTTATGGGGGGAAAACAAATCAAATACAGAGGTTCTGGAAAGACTGCTGTTGAACTGCTTTCACCAAAAGTTAGATTAGACAGTAAAGGGCAATTTGTTTCTTGTTCACTAACATAGGAACGGAGCAACTATGTGGGTGACCTCTTTGTCATATTTGGAACTGTGATTAGTTGCCTTGGGTCACTGGTTACCAACAATGGTGACACAATGAAAGAAATTAAACGGCGACTATCAATTGCTCTTCAAAGACTAAAACAACTGAATAAATTATGGAATTGTACAGATAGAATTACAAAGGTCAGATTTTTAAGAGCATGCATCTTTCCCATTGCAACATACGCCTGTGAGACCTGGACACTTACTAAACAAGCGGAACAGCGCATAAATGCATTTGAATATAAATGTTACAGACAGGTTCTAAGAATATCTTGGGTAAAGAAAAGAACAAATGCATCCATACTTCAAGAGCTGAATATTGAAGAGGGTTGGCTAGTAAAGACAATAAAACAAAGAAAATTGAAATATTTTGGTCACTTGAAACGTCGTGGAGGTCTAGAGAGAACAATAATGGAGGGGTATATGCCTGGGAAGAGAGGAAGAGGAAGGCCAAGGAGAAGATGGGTGCAGGATGTGGCAGATGATCTCCAGATGGGTGTATCAGACGCAGGACATCTTGCTCATGATAGGAAGGTTTTCCGGAGGGTTGTTATGACAGCGAGGTTCCGCGAGGGACATGCTACTGAATGAATGAATGAATGATTAGTTGCCTGTCGGTGCAAAGGTCTTGGGGTTCTATTTCGCAGAAATGCGGATTTGTAATAAATAAACTGGCCTCTTGGGTTAACCCTATTTCAAAGAAGGGTGCCCTAACATATCTGGAAAACCAAGGCAGTTGACATGATGTTGACCATATCGTTCATTAGTGGCCCAAGGTCAATAACAATATAAATCTAGCACCATATGTCTGAGGCGCCTTCCCCTTTTTTACTTTCTTTTCCCACAAATATTTGTGTCTGTGTATAGTTTTGATAATTTAAAGGGGTAAACGAATGTTGAATGTGATATTAAGAATCGACATCACAGCTCTCGTGTTACCCCCATAAGCGTTCTGTCCCCATCTTCGGCAGCAAGCGAATAGTTCTAGTTCCGATGGTACAAGTGTTGAGCGTTGGCCAGATTCCCTGGTAACAGCTCGTAGCGCAATATCCACAGAGTGAAATGCTCTGTTTATGCCTTAGCCCTGTTCACTTGCTCCCAAAGGGTCCTCACCATATTTTGCTAATCATACATCAATTCACCACCAAGTGGTGCAGAACCGGCCAGTTTATCTGACTGCTAATTTCCCACCACAACCGTACGGCCTGGAGAAAATATCCTAATGATGCTAACTACCCAGGACTTCTGAAGTCATGTTTGCCATCTGCACGGAGCATGCCTGTTTCTACCTCTCTCAACATGTTTTGTGCGTCAGTTCAGCTGCAGTCACGACATGTTCGTACAACTAACTGATTATCAAGCCAGCAAAAGGCACCATTGACCGATTCTAACTCCATTCTCAAACTAGACGTTGTTTTATCATATACCAGACTTTATTCCACTAAGCGACGTTCATTTGCTTTGCTTTGAACCCCCAGGCACTTCGTTTGCCCCTCACTACAGAGCATTCTGTATAGATAATCACATCACCTGGGCGGGAATTGTCATGAATCCTTTGTTAAACTTCTGATTCTGCAGCACAAGCTGGCCGGTCCCTACACTCGCGAGCTGAAGTGATAAGAACCCTACACAAGTCTAAAACCTGCTCGTACATATTGACCCGCTCAATTCTTACCCAAATTTATCAAGCCTGCACACATGTTAATTGTGTCTTCAGCTTGTGCCATCCAAGACCTTCCTCTTTTCAGTCTGTGACCCTTAGTTCTACCCAGGGCTTCGTGCAAGATGTGCTTCTAGTCTGCTGCTACTATGAGACATGACTTTGCTTGCTGAACTTTGAGCCTATCTGTAATAGTAGGCAGTACAAGTATAGGCTATATCGAATACATACTACAGGGGCATCTCTTGAATATCCCAGAATGACCCGCACACCTTCATCCTGTATGCGTTCAAGTTCCATTAGTTGACTCTTTGATATGGTAAGCATTCCAAGTCCATAATCTATCACCGACAGGATTACATGCTGGAACATTGTGAAAAACATTCTTTGTTCCATATTCATTATTGCCATAATCTTGGGAGCATTGAGTCGTTGTCGGCATTTCATCGCAACCGCCTGCACATGATCCCTAAAGGACAGGCTTCTATAGAAAATGATATCCAGCTACCTCAGTTTGCTCTCTTTTTTGATGTTACTGTTATTATTATTCAGGCTTGGAGCGTCAGCTCTTACTATTCTATTTTCCAGAAAGCACCACAAGACAGCCGCCCTTTTCTGAGTTAAGGACAAGGCCCACTTCAGCACATCAGTCACAGTCAATTTGTCTACAGTTGCCTGTAGCTCTTGGGAGATCTGCTGTCTATCACTCCCCTGCTATGCAAGAACTTCATCTGCTAAGGTCAATATCCTTCCAATACCTGATGCTTCAGGTTCTGCAATCTTGCTTGTATACACATTGAAGAGCACTGGTAAAATGTAAGAACCGTGGAGTAGTCCATGTGCCATATTACATGGTTCTGAGGTACATATACCCAAGCGAAAGGCAGCTATACGTGAATGCAGAAGAGCTGCTATCCAGTTTACAAACCACTGACAAACTCCATTTTCCATTAGCACAGATGTCAAAAAATATCATATTTGACTCTATTGTAGGCATCCTCAAAATCAAGTACTGCCACAACCGTCTCCTGTCTATTCTGGAACCCCTCATAAATATCAAATTCTAAAGTAGCTGCATCTGACAAGGTGTCTGTGGCCGGTAACTACCCGCATCTTTCAGCAGGAGTTCTTCCCTTTCCAAAAACATTTGTCGTTTAACAGCTATATTTTTCTCTAGCACCTTGCCAAAAGTTTTTAGTAGGGTGATAATCCTGAAACCAATAATTCTAGAATGATTTTTGCCTGGTTTTGTAAGTGTGATTAGATAGCTGTGTACCCAATCCTGGGGTACTGAAGCTGTTCTGATGCTCTGGTTGAAGTGAAAAGCCATCTCTCTTAAGCCCACATTGCTCATGCTCTTCATGTGTGCATACCTTACTCTGTCTTGCCCCGGCGCTGTGTTTTTTGTTTTTTGTAAAACATGTTTTATCCTTTCCGCTAATGATATCCTGAAAATAATAATCATTTACAGTATTAGACAAATTATCTCTAACTGAATTTCTTAGCTCCATACAGTTATGATCAGTTTGGGCTATAAATCTCTTAAAAGTACTTGCCCTTTCTCTTTTTCTGCTGTCACTGACATACCGCTTTCAGTGCACATAATGCCTGTTATAATATACCAATCCTTTCCTTGCATCTGTTTGTGAAGTTTTAAAAAAAAATACTCAGTGATCTATCCCATCCAATTTCGCTCATAAAATGTTTCCATTTGCATCTGATGCCCACCGCTTGAACTTTTCTACTTTATCTTTCCAACTCTTTCTAGCTTCTCTACATTCTTTTGTAACATGTGAGGCGTCTTTCACTTCTTTCTGTAATTGTTTAAATGCTGCTCGCTTTGCTTTCCATGCCTTTTCTACTTTTTGGATCCGCCGTCGAGGCTGCACAAAAGCAGAAGTGGTGGTTCTACTGCATACGTTCTGTCGTAGACGTCAAAGATGGGTGCTGTCCCTCTCATACTTAAAAGTCTTACGCTTTTTCACAACCCTGATCTTGCTAGCTTTAGAAATCAAGACTGCGCATGGCTTATGGTCACTGACATGATCGCCTAGGACACCCCATTTTGTGTCCAGCACTGCTGACTGGGAAACTAACGCCAAATAAATAGCCGTATCTGCATTACCAGGTCTCACTGCCATTCCAGTTGGCTACTGTCGTTTACACAGATTACGTCTGGTTACATCAAAGCCTCTGCTATGCATTGCCTTTTACATTTTCACTAGTACTGTCTCATGCTCTGCTCCGCGCACTGAAATCCCAACAAATGAGAAGCCTATTACAAGGAATTTCCTCCAACTTTTTCAGCCGATGCCAGGGTTCCTTTCTGACAAGAGAGTCAACAGCAGCGTAAACATTTACTAAATTCCAGGTTGTTCTCCCATTATCTATTTGTATAACCTGAACCTCTTGTGTACTACGATTACACTGACCCTTGTTTAACCAATTCTTCACCAGCAGACATTGTCCATGTCTTCCCTGTCCTGTAGGGTTTATATAATTAATGTATCCAGGACATATATATTTATCTATGTTTTATTCCTGCATACTTTGCTATAAATCAGTATCTCCAGTTTCCCTCGAAGTCGGAGTACAGCTGCCCATGAGGCAGGGAACAACAAAACGGTTGTACACGCAAAACTCAGGTCCAGGTAAAAGCCAAAAGTCCAAGCGGACGATTAACCGGGACCTTCCGCCGGAATTCACAGCCGGTGAACGAAGAAGAAGAAGAAGTATCTCCAGTACAGGTTCTCTCTGCTCGGCGCTACGACAATTCCAGTAACCCACTCTAAAATGCTTTAATCCAGAAGCTCCATTTTTCTCCTGACTCTCCGGGCTCCCGCTCTCCTATTTTTATGTATTCTTCCCTCTCCATTTCCTTTTCCCACTCTCTCTGTTGCCAAATAAAGATGGTATCAAGCACAGAGCACGTACTCCGTAACTCCGGCGATGATTCTTTGTATTATTAAGTTTAAAGTCCGTAGAAAATATTTTTTCAGTGCAGGAAGTAAACGGCCACCCTAGTATTGCCTGCCTGCTAGGAAAGAGGCAAGGGATGTCCTGACGGAATCCACACGCCTGGCGCTGCTCTCCCAGGTTCACGATTGTAAAAATTCTACATTATCTGACAAACACTCAAACACTATATGTATATTTGGTCGCCTGCAGGCGCACATATTCACTCATGCATACAGAATACCTAAATACATATAATATTGCAGACATAATATCTACATACATTTGAATGACTATAATCATGACCATATGCAGATAAAACAAGTATCAATGAAAATTGTCTCTGTAACATGGAGTGGAATTGTCAGGCGTATGGTGATGTTGCGAGTGTTTTCTGGCCATTGCAGTCTTGGTAATATTGAAATACGCACAGTGTAAATGAAAAATGTTGAAAACTGTTAACCACAAGCACTGAGACTTGATCTACAAATACATCACCTTGCTAGCACAGTCAAATCCCACCCCTGCATCGGCGAGACACCTGGAAACTATGGGGTGAGGATTGCACTTGAGAGCTGGTAAATATAAGTCAATGATAGAAGGGTTAGATGTCAAATCAATCTATCTATCTATCTATCTATCTATCTATCTATCTATCTATCTATCTATCTATCTATCTATCTATCTATCTATCTATCTATCTATCTATCTATCTATCTATCTATCTATCTATCTATCTATCTATCTATCTATCTATCTATCTATCTATCTATCTATCTATCTATCTATCTATCTATCTATCTATCTATCTATCTATCTATCTATCTATCTATCTATCTATCTATCTATCTATCTATCTATCTATCTATCTATCTATCTATCTATCTATCTCTATCTATCTATCTATTTATCTATCTATCTATCTATCTATCTATCTCTATCTATCTATCTATCTATCTATCTATCTATCTATCTATCTATCTATCTATCTATCTATCTATCTATCTATCTATCTATCTATCTATCTATCTATCTATCTATCTATCTATCTATCTATCTATCTATCTATCTATCTATCTATCTATCTATCTATCTATCTATCTATCTATCTATCTATCTATCTATCTATCTATCTATCTATCTATCTATCTATCTATCTATCTATCTATCTATCTATCTATCTATCTATCTATCTATCTATCTATCTATCAATCTATCTATCTATCTATCTATCTATCTATCTATCTATCTATCTATCTATCTATCTATCTATCTATCTATCTATCTATCTATCTATCTATCTATCTATCTATCTATCTATCTATCTATCTATCTATCTATCTATCTATCTATCTATCTATCTATCTATCTATCTATCTATCTATCTATCTATCTATCTATCTATCTATCTATCTATCTATCTATCTATCTATCTATCTGTCTATCTGTCTATCTGTCTATCTGTCTGTCTGTCTGTCTGTCTATCTATCTGTCTATCTATCTATCTATCTATCTATCTATCTATCTATCTATCTATCTATCTATCTATCTATCTATCTATCTATCTATCTATCTATCTATCTATCTATCTATCTATCTATCTATCTATCTATCTATCTATCTATCTATCTATCTATCTATCTATCTATCTATCTATCTATCTATCTATCTATCTATCTATCTATCTATCTATCTATCTATCTATCTATCTATCTATCTATCTATCTATCTATCTATCTATCTATCTATCTATCTATCTATCTATCTATCTATCTATCTATCTATCTATCTATCTATCTATCTATCTATCTATCTATCTATCTATCTATCTATCTATCTATCTATCTATCTATCTATTTATCTTTCTATCTATCTCCCTGTCTGTCTGTCTGTCTGTCTGTCGCTTCAACTCTACACTGGTGAGACTAAAGTAGAAAGTATAATGAGAGCAACGCACTATGGTTGATCATTGCTGCCAGTCTAACCTTCAACTCTTATATACAAGTGCTCGTGAAACAAACAGCTGGGGAAAAAAATTTACCAAATTGCAGAAATAAAAACTGTCTGGATGGAAATACTAGAAGGATTTTATCACATGCAGACATACATTGACATCAATATGAGAAGTCTGTTCCAGTTCAGTCACCAGCCGCCTTACGTCACTGCAAAAGCAAACCTTTCGCTTAATAAGTAATACTTATGGGACTATCGGTTCCGGAACGTATAAAGATCTTATTTAGTAAAGACGTTTACTTGTTCAAAACGGCTACCTTTATTCACAAAATACTATTATCCAGAACTAACCATAGAAAAGTTCCACGCGCGGCAAATGACGTCTCCATTGCTCCAGCATTCGATACAATTCCGCTAGATCTACCAGGAAGAAGGGCCGGTTGTCATTCTGATATAGTAAAGAAAATTGAATGAATTATGATATACCAGTCATTAACACCTTTTATATATATATATATATATATATATATATATATATATATATATATATATATATATATATATATATATATATATATATATATATATATATATATACATGCCTATACAGTTTTGCAGATGATATTGTTCTGTTGCGCAAAAATAATAAATACATGCAAAAGGAAAAAATACGATTTATCGACTACAGTTTCAAAAATAGGACTACAGATAAGTTATTTCAAAAATAAGACTACAGATAAGCTATCAGAAAACAAGTATATTAAAGATATTAACAACAGATCATGTAGATGTTATGCTAGAGAACAAACCAATAAAAGTAACAGACTATATCGCCTATTTGGGTAGCAATTTTGAGTCTCAAAGAGATACAACGAAGACAATTATAATACGCATCGGCAAAGCAAACGCAGTCTTTGGTACTGTTTGAATTCGTCCCTTTGTGGGATGCAATTTTTCGTTATTTGAAGCCCCACCCTGGGTTTTTTCAGAGGCCCTGAATATAGCCGGGACACGATTGTGGCCATAACGGCTAAAAGGGGTTTCTGGGACCTCTCCAGCTCATGTACTGATGCAGCTGATCCTCGTCCGCATGGTGGCACTTTGTGTCACCGGGTGTTTATCGCTTGTGTGATGTCCTGGTGGGGTACCACAAGCAAGCAAGCAACAGCAGTCTTAAAAATCCTTAACAAAATATGGAGCTCCAAGTTATACTGATTTAAGACCAAACTACGAATCTTCAGTTCTAATGTTTTTTTTTTTTAGTTCAAGCATATTCCAGCGAAAGTTGAAGAACCACCATAGATAAGGAACGAAAGTCAAATGCATTTGAAATTTAAAAAAATCACAGAGAAAAGTCATGATGATAAAATGGGATGGATTTAAAGCGAGTGACGAGATCAATGTCTGAACAAATACCTGTATCGATTACAATAAGAAAAAAAAAATGTGATGATGTATTGGACACACTCTGAGAAGAAATGAGCAAAAATTAGTAGTACTTTTTCCCCACAGGACATCACACAAGCGATGAACACCCGATGGCACAAAGTTCAATCATGCAGATGAGAATCACCCGTGGAGAGGTCCCGGAAACCTCGTACATCCATTAGGACATATTTATGCCCGGGCTATATTTCGGCCCCTGGCTAAAGCCAGGATGGGGCTTCAAATAACGAAAAATTGCATCCATCAATGGGATGATTGTGGTTAAATTGTTGAGAAAGAACTAAAAAACAACCATTGAAAAAAATAGGAAACAAACTGTCTAAAAAAAAAGAGGAAATCCAATGTAAACATTTAAAAAGAACATTATTACGAGAGGAAAAACCAATGCTGGGCTGAACTCCATATCAGAAATCGAGAAATTTGCAGGCAATAGAGCGCATTTGAGAAATAGAATGAGAGTCCTATGTGACGTCTAGCGGCATACAAAGAATGCTGATATGCGTGTGTGATATTATATATATATATATATATATATATATATATATATATATATATATATATATATATATATATATATATATATATATGTGTGTGTGTGTGTGTGTATGTATCTATATGCTTGCCTTCCTATTCGAAGGTCTTGGGTCGAACCTGAATCCCTGAGGATTGTTGCAGAACTTGATTCCCATGTCTACTAAAATTAAATATACATTGGAGAATATTATTGGAGGCATTAGCTGGCGGTGTGATGTTGACCAGTGCACAAGTAAAATACTGACTGGTTGGTAATGAATATGTATATTACACATGTATTTAACTATTTCACAGTAAGTTTGGTGCAGCAATGCTTTACAGTGTCAGTGTATTTCACTTCTGTGGATCACTAAGGTTATGAGTTATGAGTTAGATTATCTTCACAGCACTCCGGACACATCCACAGGCGCTCAAATTCCCCTCTCAACATATTCATCAGCGTCGTGTGGTTAATTGTGCCAGTCCTGTGTTGGTTAACAGGACTTTGTGTGCGTCCTGTGTGCTTCTCATGCGTGGCCGTGCCGATACCCACTCCCAATTCGTGCCTTTTTAGCAGTGATGTGGAGGCTCACCAAGGTGTGTTCGATATGAAGGTTACCGGCATCAAATCCGGCTACTCGAGGACAGTAAGTCTCTTTTCTATCTAGCTGAGCCCACCGTGTAAGGGACTGTACGTTGAACCCACTTTTATTTAAAAAAAAAAATTTGAGTAGTGACAATTGCCTTCCCTACGTATGTGTACATCTGTGTGTGTGTATGTGTGTGTGTGTTTAGAAACATATGTGTGGATGTGTGTGTAGTGTATGGCTGTTTTTCATATCGTGTATTCCTACACGTCTAGGAGCATAAACTGGCCAGTCAGACAAGTATCTTTTTTTTATTGGAGAAAGCTCAGTTTTGTGATTTTTGTATATTCTTGCTTGTAACATTGTCTATCCACGTCATGTGCTAATGTAGGCTCTCTTACCGCAACGTTCACTCGTTATTTGTGATAATGATTATTGAAAGCTAACTCACGCGAACTTAAATTCGGATGCTTACGCATCTCCTGTCCTACATCGAAGTATCAGCAAACCACTTTTGGATTAGTTTAACATGATTAGAGACAGGAGAATAACGAGAAGACAAACAGAAACAACCACTCTATAAAACTTACTTGACTTTCTAGCATGTCGACTTTCTTCAGGAGAAAACTTTCTAGCGGTAAAACGTCTCCTTCGTACAGCTCAAGATTATGATAGTCGCCATTTCCTTTACACATCTGTGTGTTTTCCATGCTATGCTGATGATACTGACTACTGTCGCACCACAGTTATGTAAAGGTGATGAGATACTAGCATTTTATAGGCTGTCGTAAGTAATAAAATTAGTTTGATCCTTCAGATAATCCCTTGATACTTGTTTCCCTCTAATTAACATCACATTGCAGTTTCTAGATGGCAATAATTCCTTTGTTAGAATTGTTTACTGTGAATAAATTTTATAATGAAAAAAAAGCAAAAGGTTTTAACTTTTGACTCTGACCGGTGAAGACTTGGTTCAGTGAACAATGTGGGCAATGCGGGTTCATTTTAAAGATGGGCACAACACTTGCAAACGAGTTAGAGACAATTTGTTAGATTATGCATCTTTCCTGTGGTAATGAATATTTTTTTATTTTTATTTTTATTTTTTAATGCAATGAACCAAGAAAAATAGAAAGAAAAAAAAACGTCGCTATCCTGCATTATCTGAACATCGAGGAAACTGTTTGTAGTCAGCATTTTGTTTCGGAAGCTGAACTATGTGGCCATTTTAAACGTCTTGTAGCCTGGGGGGGGGGGGGGGGGGGGAAGGGGGGTGGAGAAAATGGCTACTGGTTACATTTTCTGGATAACGAGGCAGTGATCGGATTCCACGAAACTATATACAAAAGTATAAAAGCACCTAGGGCTGGGTTGAGCAATACCCAGTCATCCCCTTGTGAATTTTTTTTATATTTTTTTTTAACTCCACCCTGGCTTTTGCCGGGAGCCCTGAATATAGCTGGTCCACAATTGTGGCCATAACGACTGGAAGCAGTTTCTGGGACCTCTCCACGGTGATCCTTATCCGAGTGGTGGAACTTTGTGGCACCTGGTGTTTATCACTTGTGTGATGTCCTGATGGGATAAAAACATACATACATACATACATACATACATACATACATACATACATACATACATACATACATACATACATACATACATACATACATACATACATACATACATACATACATACATACATACATACATACATACATACATACATACATACATACATACATACATACATACATACATACATACATACATACACACACACACACACACACATACATACATACATACATACATACATACACACACACACACACACACATACATACATACATACATACATACATACATACATACATACATACATACATACATACATACATACATACATACATACATACATACATACATACATACATACATACATACATACATACATACATACATACATACATACATACATACATACATACATACATACATACATACATACATACATACATACATACATACATACATACATACATACATACATACATACATACATACATACATACATACATACATACATACATACATACATACATACATACATACATACATACATACATACATACATACATACATACATACATACATACATACATACATACATACATACATACATACATACATACATACATACATACATACATACATACATACATACATACATACATACATACATACATACATACATACATACATACATACATACATACATACATACATACATACATACATACATACATACATACATACATACATACATACATACATACATACATACATACATACATACATACATACATACATACATACATACATACATACATACATACATACATACATACATACATACATACATACATACATACATACATACATACATACATACATACATACATACATACATACATACACACACACATACACACACACATACACATACATACATACATACATACATACATACATACATACATACATACATACATACATACATACATACATACATACATACATACATACATACATACATACATACATACATACATACATACATACATACATACATACATACATACATACATACATACATACATACATACATACATACATACATACATACATACATACATACATACATACATACATACATACATACATACATACATACATACATACATACATACATACATACATACATACATACATACATACATACATACATACATACATACATACATACATACATACATACATACATACATACATACATACATACATACATACAGACAGACAGACAGACAGACAGACAGACAGACAGACAGACAGACAGACAGACAGACAGACAGACAGACAGACAGACAGACAGACAGACAGACAGACAGACAGACAGACAGACAGACAGACAGACAGACAGACAGACAGACAGACAGACAGACACAGGGCTGGAGAACTGGCTAAAAAATGAAAGATATTCTAGCTCGTCTAGACGAGAGCGACGTCCTGTAAAAAAACTAACTCGACTATGCGACCTTTAAGTAAAGTCTGAGCATGTCAGTGTAATCTCTATTTCCTCTCCTTATATTTCCTTTGCGTTAACTGTCTGTTAGCTCCAACGGAAAATCTTGGCCTTCGTCAATTTCTGTACTTTGGTCTTGCTGCTAAACTGAGCTTTTGCGAGCACACAGGTTTTACATGTCCAGCTTCCTTGTTTGGAGACTGCCACCCCTTCCCTTCCCCAATCCTTTCCCCATCGCCTCTCAGGCAAAGGCAAGCAGATCTCACTTCAAAGGACACTTGTAGGAATAAACTCACAGGGAGCAAGTACAGCAGAGATCTACCAGTCGTCAGTAGAAATTATCCTCGTCGACACGCGTTTCGGCCCACGATTCCTAGACGCATTCGGAGGTGGGCCCTCCTGAGTTCATGAAGCTCAGGGCTGGTTCCCCGCTGTACGAAATTACCGGATGGTGTTTTTCTTTCGGCCAGAGACAAGACGACTTTGTGGTTTCGCAGAAGGTACTGTGAGATAAGAAGTCGCCGCGGCAGCCTAATTAAAGAAGTCAGCATGCCTGGACGACCGAGCGACAAGCTTACGTTTGGTTTACCGGACACATGTTGGACTTTAATTAGCAGGTGGCAGAGGAACACTGGCAGACACTTCGGACACGATGGACTTTCAAAGGGGTGAGAAACCCTTTTCCACTAGACACCCGGATCAGCTCACCGAGGCCCGTCCCCTACGTTGTTGCGCTGCGTCCAAAACCAGCTAGAGGCCCTTTCGGCTGCCTCTCCCAGTTTTTTAAGTGTTCGTTTCCGTTCATTACCGCGCAATCCTAGTTCTTTCACCACATTATAGAGCGAAGTGGAAACGAGGCCTCTCGCTCCCACTTCGACGGCAAAGACCCGTACCGTGTACGACTCGTTTCTCCTCAGACCGGCTGCTAAATCACTGTACTTCTCAAGCTTGTACAAATGATTCTCCTCCATACGCGACTCAAACGGGACGGTCAACTCAATCAGGATGAGCTGCCGTTTTTGCGCAGAATGGAGAACTATGTCCGGTCGCAGGCCGGTCTTACGGATCAACTCGGGGTACCGTTCATTGCCTGGCAGATCAACCGCCAGTAACCAGTCCCTCGCAGAGTCTAGCACAGATGGAGCGAATGCGTTTTGGTTGACCTTACCTTTTGGAACCTGCCCAGCCTTGAGGAAACGAATAGGGACGTTGCTAGAACTGGCTCTGGCGTTAGCCCTCATTCTAGCCTGGTCGACAACGGCTGCTAACTCTTTTTGCACCTTGTTGTGTCGCCAGGTATAGCGGCCTTGACTTAGGGCTTTCCTGCACGCGGACAGGACGTGCTCAAGAGTTTGCTTCGATTTACACAACGGGCAAGTCGGATCGTTGGTCGCAGACCATTTAACCATGTTAACACCGGACGGTAATACATCGTACGCCGAACGAACGATAAAGCTCAGTCGCAGTGGGGTCATCCGCCAGATCTCACCCCATGTGAGTATTCTTGGCAATGCGCTCTCCAGGCTGACCCAATGGCCCTGCTGCGACTGCTGGGCTGCTTTCTGGACCCGAACCTCGTTTTCGTTGTCCCTCACCGTTTGTATTACCATGTCTCGGCGTTCTTTGGCTGAGGCCTTTGACCACCAATTGACCTTCCCGTGCCCTAGGCCTCGTGGGTCGGTTTGAGTGTATCCCATTATCTCTCTCAATTTTAGTGCATTCTGGGCAGATTCTATCGCATCGAGGACTCTCCACTTCTGGCCAGTCTTTAGAGCGGGCTGGACAGCGATGACATTTGGGTCTGAAGACTCGCGCAATAGCATGGCGAGTCTTACCTTGCCGACTTTAAACTCTTCGGTTATTGATTTGAACGGAAGTACCAGCTTAGCCTGCTTACAATACAGAGCCACGTCGGTCAGACAAGGCGGTGCACCAATCCACTTTCTCAAGGCTGTGTTGATTTTCTTTTCCATGGTTTCCACTTCAGTCATCGTCACCTCGTAGACTAACAGTGGCCATAGGAGCTTTGGAATCAACATGAATTGGAGACACCATACCTTGAATTTTCCGACCAGCCTGCATCGCTCGATCGCGAGCAGGTCTGTAGCCAGTGACTCGTGTATTCGCCGGACTTCCGCTCTGTCAGATAACGTCAAATCGTAAACGCGACAGAGGCTCTTCACCGGTTCCTCCAGAACCGTGGGGATCTTTGTCCTTGCCACTGTAAAACTGGTTGCCAACACCTTGCCCTTATGGATTGACAGACTCCTCGACTTCTGCGGTTTGAACTGCATTCCGCTCCAATGGACCACCGCGTCCAATCTTTTCAGGATCGTGCGGGCAGACTCCTCACTGCCCGTTATAATAGTCGTGCCATCCATAAATGCGCGTAGTGGCGGCATCCAGTGATCCCGTATTTGAAGGCCCAGTCCGTAGCCGGCCGCCCCGTCTAACATGATCTGCATTGCCTTGACAAACAGTATGGGTGAGATCGTACACCCCATAGCTATCCCAATCTGCAACTCAGTCCACCTCGTGGTAAACGTCGAGGTAGAGAAGCGCAAAGCGAACTTGGAGAAATATTGCTCGATCATTTGATTGATCTGTTGC